CGCCCCTGCCCCGCGGGCAGTCCGATGCCCGGCGGCAGCTCCATGCCCAGCGGCAGCGACATGCCCAGCAGGGGCAGACACTGGAGTTCCACAGGGCTGACACTCAGTGGAAAAACTAAGGGTCACAGTGAGATCAGAGAGCGGTCGGACAAAAGGCACGACAAATGAATGGTTGTTGACAAAAAAAAAAAAGAAAAAAAAGGCCAGACTTGACGGAGGGACATGAGCCACGGTCGGCCTTCGTGTTTTGTGGAGACCGAGCCAGGATTAGAACATGAGGTTCAAGACATTTTTCACTCTTTTTATGGACTGAATATCACTTGCACTTCAGTGAACTGCCATAAAACTAACGATGGTGAAATAACACCTTAGTTAAGACAGAAGTTACTGTGTCTTTGACACACATTTGAATCCTGAGGTTGATCAACAGCTAGCTAACCCTGAGAAGGGGAATTACCAACTTTGCCAAACTTAAACTAATCCACCAGGCTGGTTATTATTTTACTACACGGAAAAGGTGAACAATTGAGTTTTGCTACTATTTGTTTGCACTGGAAACATTTTTCCCACGGCCTTTATCTCTACATTCAATCATTTTATTTCTACCTTTAAGATAGGAATAATAACAATAAAAAACGTTCATGTTCATGTATTCTTCAGAAACGTTTTAAAGCCTGACAGAATCATCCTAATTTGAACTACAAAATGTTGTTAATCTCAGGTTTTAAGGCAGTAAAATCCTAAAGTGACGAATGACACAGTTTGAAGAAGAAAAGATGAAGAGAAAAAGTCTACATGACGAAGCTCTGGGCGCTAATGCTACGGAGAAACTAATTATAGAGCGAATTTAACCAGAATAACTGTCAGACCGCGACTCCAACTGTTGTCTGTTGCTGTGGCAGAGGTTTCCTGTTTGATTACGGAGACTTCGGGACAGACATTTATAATCCAAGCTTCAAAATTCAAACTTTTTTCTTTACAACAACAACGAACGACAACACTATTAAACCCTGCAACAGCGGCACAGCGTCAACGTCACTGTTACTGTTCCAAACAGCATCGTTCAGTTCCCCAGTGAACAGACTTAGTAAAATGGGAAATCAACGGCGGGCCAACCGACAAATCCCCGGTGAACCGGTCGTCTGTGCACTGAAATGCTACACACAAATATCTCCAGTCAGAGGCTGTTTCTCCCATTTAAACTTGGCTATGGCTAAGAGTTAGCCACACACTGCTAGCTGTGTGCTAACACGGGCTAACACAAACTGGCACTGACTGTTGGAAGTTTAAAAACGTGTGTTGTTTTTTTTTTTTTTTAAAGGCAGATGTTGGGAGACAGTAACTGGAGCGGCCGCCACAGAGACTCTGGTAGAAAATAAAGCTTACCTTAGTTTGTGTAGGAGCCTACGCCGGGGGAAACTGCACTCGTAGTTAGCATTTCTCCAACAGCAGCGCTTCAACATGTGTCCAGTATCCAACACCAGTGCGTATGTGAGCGAGCGGGAGCGCGCGCGCGTGTCTGTGTCTATTTTACGCGAACTATTTTTTAGTAGATTTTCATTAAGAAGGTCAAGGACTATAGTGTAGGGTAAGATGTAGAATACATACAACTTGGGTTTAGAAATACAATAAAATGTACTTATAAATTATAATGAGTGTCTAAAATCAGAAACTATTATTATTGTGACTTTTTGTCAACATAAATGTTACCCATTTATTATTCATAGTTAAACGGGACGAAAACAAACTCAAACGTCTAGTTTTCTATTTTTAGTTGTAGTTATCTATTTTTATATGAATTGTTGTTTTTAGGGGAAATATTATTAATTTCAATCACGGGCTTTGGCATCTGTTAACCCAAAGAACTTGATGGTAGAAAGGACATTATTTTTTGTGTTGCTAACTTATCCTCTTGGCTAGCAGAATTACTATAACTGTGCCACGCTTTCAAGAGTCTAAAGATTAAAAACATATATAAGAGTTGACAAATCTAAATATTTATTGTAAGATTAATGCAAAAAAGTGACTTTTTTTTAGGAATATAAATGTCAAATCACGTGTTGCTGTCATTTTTAAAGAAATATCAAATCACGTGTTGCTGTCATTTTTAACTACATTTAACTGATGCTATTTTCCTTTAGGGGGCAGTCATTGACATATTCAGTGTTAAATAAAACATTGATCACATTGAAGAAGATGAATTGGTAATCAATCTCCCTTATTCTCATCCACCTCCCAGTCATGACTGGGATTATTTAAAACAATCCTGCATGTTATTTTGTTTTTTGTTTTTTTGTACTTGGAGAAACCTACAGACTCAGGGAGAACAAATCAACTCAATACTAAAACACTGACAGTCTCCATCTGGAACTGAACAGGAATATTACGCTGTAACCAAAGAGCTCTACGTGATCTGACCCCAATTTACTTTTTTACTATAGAATAGAATTTATTTTAAATTATAAAAATGTAATCATCTCAGTGGGCTCACAAGTTCATTTTTTCCCATCTTTCACAGCCACTGGCGCAGTAAGAGAAATTATAATTTTCCTGAGGCAGAAAAAACCCAACCTCAGTAATGTAATTCACGTGCTAGGAAGACGAGGTTGAAGTTAATTATAAAAAATTAGGTTAAACAATGACACAAAGTTATAAAATAATTATCAGTGAGTCGGTGGATAGAAAATTTGTCATTTAATCCAACAGAATTGTGACTGAATTACAATTACTCTCATGGAAATAAATCACCAAACTGACAGCGTGTTTCCATACAGGTATATATTACAATATGCCTTGTTATATAATACAGACGGGTTGTTTTTTAATAAAAATAAGCACTGGAGGAGGATGTGATACTTTTTGTGATTTTATTGTAAATTGTACATTATGCATGTGACTTAGCGACGGACGGTGGTGTTAATCAAGCGTGTTAGATGGACACAGAGAAAAAAAGGCGTTTAATTCCGCTGTGAGCTGGTGCTCTGACAAACAGGACAGACGTTGGAGGAAGTACCAAAATAAAGAAACAAGGACAACTGACAGAGGTGACTTTGCCATAGTTACCAGTCGTTCAACACCAGTCGTTAATTGCCGTCGACTGTTTTGGACGTTAACCGTTAAGAGAAAAGGAAGTCGTTTTTTAAACGCTTTTATCTGAGCTCTTCAGTAAAAACATCAAATTCACCAAATATTGCAAAATTTCTCCAGATGATTTATGTTTTAGCAGGTCAAACAAAAAGTTTGGTCTCACCGACAATAAATATTGCACACGATACTGCATTTTAAATGGTGTTTTGCATACGAGTGACCCCTTCATTTCCTATGTCGAGTTTCAGTTTTCCCCAAATATGATGTTCATCATATATTTAATATACAGTGGAGTTACAGTGTCTATATCAAACAAAATAACATGTACATATTTGGACATCCAATGTGTAAGGTGACGTCTGACCATGAGACCAAACCTTTGACTTTTTGTCCCCGGATCTCTAATTTTATTTTATTTTTGTACAAAGACAAAACAACTATCCAGTCATGCACCGTTGTTCGTTGTCCTGGTCTGTTTTTCCTCGGAGCTGTGTCTAGGCGTTCTGCATCTCCTTGCCGATCTTGTAGCTCAGGATCTTGTTCCAGTCGATCTTGGTGCGCGTCACAGGAAGCTGGCGGCGTAAGGCTTTGAAGGTAGTGTCCGACATGGTCTGGTAATTTTCGTTGATGGCCGTCTGCAATAAAAAGAACCCGACGCAAGGGTATTTATTAGAGTATGTTAAAAACTGATCCTAATATTTGACAATCATTTCTGGAGGATAGTTGATGGACTGCAAGTATTAGTTACAGTAACTGTAGAAAAGCTTTTTAAAAAGCTAATTAATTTGTATTTTTTTACTAACAACTCCACAGTAGGTACAGTTTGTTGTTATGTATAGAGACATTTTTTTCACATATGTGGTTACAAACCTGATAGTCGTTCTCTGCAGCTTCCATGATCTTAACAAACTCCTTTGCAGTTGCAGCCTCGTTCTGCAGGAGAGCAAAGACACAGTGATAATATAATAGTAAACTACTGATATAAGGAGAAAAAAAACAACACAATATCACATTATGTTAGCTGAACTAATAATAATATAATAATGAATTCACTCACAGAGATGGACATGGACTCCTGGACTTCTTTGTGGCTGACCAGCTGAACATTTCCATCCTCATAGTAATGAACCTGCAGAGATGACGATCCTGTTTCAACTCTCATTTCATTGATGGTATTGGACCTGTTTGTTTATATGCTGTTACACTGCACACAGGGTAAATACCTGGATTTTCATGATCCCTGCCACCTGAGTGGAGGAGGGGGAGATGATGAACTTCCACTCTGACCTCCAGCGTCCATTCCTGTCCAAAGAAAGAAAGACTTTACTTTCTCTGCTGTCAGCTGCTTGTTGTCATTTCCACCTTCAATCATTGAACCTCATGTAAATCCTCCTGCTGTTGTCAGAGTTTAAGCTGCTAATGAGGAGATTCTCCTGCTGGTTTTTGTTGTTAACAGAAACCAATGAAACTGGTCATGATCAGAGAAAACGTTAGTTCAGATTAAACACCTGTATTGTATACAAATTATGACCCTTGAAAAAACAAATGTTTATCCAACAGAAGTTATTAAAAAATTAGCATTAGCACAATTAAAAAATATGATCTTTAAAACTAAAACATCATGGTCGTAGGGACAGTTAGCAGCAGCAGCAGTTTCCTAAAGAGGCTCAGGCTACTTACACCCTACGACCCATAAACCCAGTCAAGTCCTGCAGCAAAGAGGATTGTTGTCGTTCTTATCCCATTAGATTAACCCGATCAGAAACAGTTCTGAGAGCCAACAGCCCAGAGCTCCAGAGTTAAGCGTCCATTACACTAATGCCTTCATACCTTCTACTGCACGTCTTTTTTTTTCTAATCTTGTTTATTTCTGCAGGGCTGTTTTGGTGTCGGATCAAAAGTGACTCCACGATCTTTAATGCTTTGCCGCTGCAGCAAAAACTTGAAGCCGATGTTTGAATTAAGACATGAGTGAGGACACTGACTAATGTACGTACCAGAAATTTTTTGGTTGAAATTGATGGCACTCGATGCACACAATGATGGTTTGATGTCCATCAATAGTTTTCCCATAAATCTAAGGAGAGAAAAACAAAAAACTGAGGTCAGGTTTTTGGAACTGTCCTGGACTGAAGTGAGAAATTTAAACTTCTAATTTACTGCTAAATCACACAGAGCCTCCAGACTGGAAGTGTATTCATCAATATGCAGAACAGACGATGGTTCGACAACATCAATGAGACTAAACTGTGAACGTTCTTGTGAAACATAAACGTTGATTCAGTCACTGTTGAAAATCAGCAGAGACGTACGGTGCAAACTCCGTTGGGATAGTGCTCCTTGACGTAGGCCCTGACGGCAGAGTCCACGGAGCTCCTCCATCCCTCCAGGGAGCTATCGCCCTCGTGTGGCCGTGGGTCACTGGCCTCCTTCCTCAGGTGGTCAAACTTGAAGGAGATCTTGTTCTTGGGGTCCAGGACCCGGCCGTTTCCAAGATCACCATGCTCTGTGATTAAGACCTGTTACAAACGACAACAAGGCACAATAAACAAGAACTAATATTAAGAGAGAAGAGAGACGGGGAAATAAAATAAATAAAATGAAGCCTAAACTGTCTAAAAAAGAAAAGAACAACAACAGGAGGAGACAAAGTTATCAGTCAGAGAGATTTAGATTTCGATCGGCCTGCTGGGTTAGAGACGGGGGAGTTTTAGGCTGCGGTGTGGCACCAGTGGAACATGATGACATCTTTACATAAGATGCTGCAATGATTGCTGACACTTGGGGGCAGCAGCACATGTTGCGCTCGACTGACTCATAATCTCACAGGCAGCAACGACACTGATGTTAACAAGTGACTACCATTTGATTCCCACGAGACGGGACCACGACGTCACGGAAGATTTACTACACCAGTCATAAATGAATTAGGTTTATAACTTAGGGCAGAGACAGGCCATAAAGGCCGAGGGTAAGAATATGTGGGTCATCGACACAACTGTGACTACAGCTGTAAATGTCTCCTATCACAGTGGAAACACACCTGTTCTTCATAGCCCTCGATTTTCACTGGAGTAAACTGGTCCAAGTTGTACTGTGCAAATGCACTGCAAAGACAAACAGGACAGAAAATGTTTTTAGATGATTAACATGTACTAATATAGTGACATGTTACTGAGAAGACATGAGACTTACTGTGATGCACCTTCCCTGAGAAGATTGTCATTGTTGAGCAGCAATCGCACATCTGATAGGATGAGAGTGGAGACAGTTAGAGCAGACCAGCACCAGGACTAACCTGCACAAAGTCAACCGTCGCAGCATTTATGACAACAGAGCAGACGCTGTGAATGAGCTCAACGGAAAAGGCTGTAAACTCAGACAAAGGGCCGAGGGCAGGAGTGGAGGGAACAGGGCACACAGACACACACGATCCATGCTGCTCTGATGTCACAACCCTCTCTTACTGTGCAACAGGATGTTACTGTAAACTACAACTTACAGTTGCATAAAAACTGGTCCCAACACAGTTAAAAATGGTTAGACTGTAATCATTAAAGGTGGAGGAGTCCAACAATGGGCTTCATTGATGAGTTTTTAAACTCCTTTATTTTTTTAACTTTAATTCTGATTTGATTTCTAAAGTACATCACAAATTCAAATGTTTGATTCTGTTCACAACTGTTTCCCTTTCAGCCTTTATCTCAGCAAGAAAAAAAAACATTTACTGCAGTAACAGTGCCCCCTGCAGTTCAGAAACTGCACTTGTCTGAAATGTATTTTTTTTACCAAAAATAAAATGTCAGATCATTTGTCTTTTTAACTTAAAGGTGCTTTACATCACACGTGTGTGTGATTGGTGCACAGATAATAACTAACAATTTGTGCATTTCTAATGCTTTTTTACTAGAAAACCCAAAAAGAAAATAATATTTTTATTACAACAAAAACATAAAAAGTGAAGAACCAGACAACTCACCGTTGAAGACTTCGTTGAACTCTCCTGGTGGGGCGTGGATGACAAAGTTTGCGGCTATGCGTACCTGCAAACAAAGACACTTTAACTTAATGGATGTTTAACCCTTCCTTCTGCCTGCACTCATTTGCATCACATTATTTGTCTACAAGCCCCAACAAAAACACCTCCTGTATAGTACATGTGCAGCCAACAGGGGGCGTCAGATTTCTTTTCTCATTGTTTTTGGTGATGCAGCTCAGCATTTTTTTAGTCTGAGGCAAACCGACCGGTACTTTTTCCTTTTTTCTCTCACTTCTCTTCTGAACCGTAACACTTCCTGTTTCCAGGTCACATGTCAAACTGACAGAGAGACGACGACGGCACATTTCTTCCCGCGGATGGTTTTACGACCATATAAGGAGATAAAAATGTACTGAAGACCAACACACACAAACACACAAACACCCAGACACTGAGCCGATCTTTCTCTGCACCTGCGTACGTCCACATCTCTGACAGGCTCAGTGGCTCAGTGGCTCAGTGGTTCAGCCAGGTTCTCCTCCAGGGTCACAGGCTGTTGAATCAGGGAAAAAGAGTTCCTGTGTGTGCGTGTCTGTGCGTTCGCATGTGTCCCATGAGCCCCTATTAACAGTCTGTGTGTGTGTGTGTGTGTGTGTGTATACACAAGTTCCTCCCAGATTGATTCCTGCTAATGAGCAACGCTGAGAGGAATAAAGTCACTTGGGTCGTAGCCTAGATGCCTGTGTTGTGTGTGTGTGTGTGTGTGTGTTTCTGCACTGGTCTGATCTTCTGCCACATAATCATTAGGATCCACTGATGCTGAACATGTTTATTACTTGATATCCCTGTAGAAATACATTCATACAACTTTAAATGAACAATAACCTCCACTGGACACAGAGGAACTTCAACACTGAAATATTACGATACTCTGCTTCACAATCACGTACTGAGATTCTACAACACTGTTGATTCATAAGATAACTTGCAAATATTCACAGCATTGATTCATTTTATTTTACTTGTCCTCTAGCGATGACAAGTGTCCATTAGCAGATCAGTGATGACAGTAAACTAAACCTGCTCCTATACCTGAGAGCAGCACGACCAGAAGAGATGACAGGGTTCTGTTGATGACACAGGTAAAGACTCGTTGTTACGCCTCGTCATTTCCTACTTTCTACAGATTTCAAATCACATGATGACGTTCTGCACCACGAGCAGCGATATTCAAATCATCCTGTGTATTTTTAGATTGTTTTTTTTTTCTAAAATCATTTAAAAGAGTTACACAAGACCTTCACATAAATGTCATTTTTCAGTGATTTTCACCTTACAGTTTTTATCATATCAACAAAAGGGTCAATGATGTTTTCAGGAAAAACCTCATGTTTGAAGAACATGACATTAGATCTGTGAAGGATGTCATATTTGAAGGGAAAGGAAATGTTGGACTGCAGATGTAATTACTGCACAGGTGTTAATTAAGTTTGGGCTCTTCCTCTTCCTCCTCCTCCTCCTCCTCCTCCTTCAGTAGCAGCCTGACACAATGGAACACATCACAGCTCTGGGACTCGGTGCCAACACTGAGTACCGACTGTCACTGTGCAGGACAGGTTTGACAGTTCAACAATGTTGCCAACGTATTTACATAATTAATGAACAGAATAATGGAAGAAATCGTTTCAAAAAGAGACAAATATAAAAGGATTCTCTGTCTTTTCACAAACCAGAACTGTAACAAAGCATTAGACACAGAACAAACAATTACATCACTGCCAATTCAAAAAAGTCCAACCCCAGTTCACCACGGTGGAGTCCACATCAACTTCAGTCAACACAAGGTCTCACACACACACACACACACACCTATGGAGCATTAGCTGCGTGTGTCTTTGTGTTCTCTTGGCCAGACCCCAGCTGGTGTCTATTGACTGTACATTCATCATCATATTACCCATCAGCCCCTAACCCCCTGCAGCAGACACTCCCACTACTGCATGTCCCGACACCGTTTCTTAATCCCACTCACTACAGCCGCCGACACTGAAACCACGTTTGTCTTAATCCTGCCATTAAAAATCACCCATCGCACCAGAGCAGATGAATAATGGCACTGAAAACCAGGAGGGGGAAAATCTGGGGGAAAATTTTTTTTTTTTGGCCACCAGGCACCATCATCTCTGTGACTTTTATCACATTTGCTGGATGTTCTTTGTTACATTATCCAAGATGGAGGGGCAGAAGATGGGGGCAGAGTTAAGACGCAAATAAGTGGGTTATGTGGAAATATTGGGGGTTGGGGGATGGTCTCTGTAGGTGCAGTGACATCTGGATATGAGGTCCAGATCAGGAGCTGTAGATGATGACAGGAACTGGACTGTCTGATACTGAGAACTGGTCTCACTGTATAATAATATTAATAAAAAATATTATTATTAAATAAAAAATAACATTTTGTATTACAATACTGGAATTATATTACACAATGATGTGACTATAACAAATTATAATATTATACATAATATTATTATAATATAGAATTATATAAACTATGTTCACATTAAAGATGCACAAAAATGGTAATGGATTAAAATAAAGACAAATTCTATTCAGGTTTTCTATTTAATTTCCAATGATATCCACCATATTCTTCCTGTATTATTTTTTAACCATTTACTAAATAAACCATTACTTATCTCCCAACTACAAAAAGACTTGTAAACACTGTACTCACATCAGCGTAATAATCTGTGTGTACAGAGCTGTTATTGACGATGGAAAAAAGAAACTCTCAGCCTATTATTTAGATAAAAGATACAGAAATTCACAGAGTTGTGATGTTTCACCCAGACAGGAAAATAACTAAAAAAAAATAATGTGATCCTAAAGAGAAAACTCTGGACGTGCTGTGTCTGTGAGCACAGTAATGTTATGTTGCAGAACTATTTATGGTGTTCTCTTACCAGACCTAGGGGTCATTTCACTTTCAGTTCATTAAACACAACAGCAGAAAATTCTCTGAGCATTTCTCTGAGCAGCAACGACAATTTAAATTGGAGAGTCAATCAACGGCATCAATACTGTAACAATGTTGTCTTTTTTCTGATGAACTTCCACTGTGCTTCATTCTCACCCTTTAAACCTTTTAAACCCAGCAGCAACTTCTCCTCATGCTGTACCAGTACTAGTAGTGTCACTTTACTACCAGCAGCCAACTATGCAGTGTTAGGGATATTACTGGGTTACATTACAGCCTCCAAAGTGGAGACGTCACTTATTCTGAAACTCTACAGTTCTCCAAAGAACACCATCCTAAAGACAAAGTATTACGATTCACGAGCAGCTTCCAGCGTATACTCTTTATTCTGTCATTTAAAATACAAAAAAAATAAATAAAAGTCGTTGTGTCTGCAAAACATCTGGCCTTTCAACAACAGGATGTTGGGGATGGCAGGATATTATGGCTCAATTTTTTTTTTATGAACAGTGACAATCGTTTTATGGAGATGTACGATGCAGCCCCGAGACGTTTCTTATAATTTTTCATTTATGAACAGTGACATCTTTTTATGGAGACGTACGACGCAGCCACGAGACGTTCCCTATCATGAAAATAAAATGGACAATGAAAGTAATTGTGACACTGCTGTTAAGCCCTAGTGGTTATATAAACATGACATTATATGACATCATAAGTGCATCTTTAAAATCTTTAACAATCTCCTGTCAGTTCATTCATTTTGTTCACCACATACTGTACTCTGAAGAGGAAAATGCACTCGATGTAAATTTCATAAAATTAACTAATTAATCAATTAATTAATTAATCAACTACTACTCTACTTAAGTGAATGCAATTATTACCCCCCCACCCCCCGCACCCACAAGCCCTTTGAGGATATGTTAGGGTTAGTAAAAGGTGTCGAAACGGTGTCGAAACGATTGTGAAATTTAGTCAAACAACACGTGAGGAGGTCGGGTTAGGATCTGAACTTTATCTTACACTCAATACATCATCTCATGCTACAACTCAATATCGCGAAAATCATTAGATGATTCAATTAAAAATTGAATTTTATTTTATCTTTTTTTTTTCGTACTTGCCCAGGCACAAGTGAAGTAAAATAATCCACAGGAGGAACATTGAGTAATGAGGGTTTCCTCTAATTCTTCTGTGGTTTGATCGATGTATTCAGGAAGTTTGCAGGCCTGTGCTCGAAGAGTTCAAAAAGGCTAAAACCACTACTGTGCCACTCAAGAAAAGAAACATATCACACAGCAAAAAACCTTTAATTAATTACTCCTCCTGGTCGGTCAGAACTACTGAATAACAACAAAAGAGGGGGAGTGTTGAACTCATATTTTGTATTTATCAAAGTTAATGTTACAGACTAACTATAAAACATTTCTGAAATGGCCTAACTGGGAATTTCCAGCAGCCTTTAACAAAGAGAGATTAAAATTCTTGTCAAACAATGATATCAGATCAAAGTAGGACTTCCCACAAAAACCTGTTGAGAAGTATTTCCTGCGTGAAGACACATCGTCAGCTAAGTGAATAAAGCCCTACTCTACTCTACTCTCTACTCTCTAAAGTGCCAAGGATTCTGAATGGGGACCAATTTTAAACACATCGTCAGCTAAGTGAATAAAGCCCTACTCTACTCTACTCTCTACTCTCTAAAGTGCCAAGGATTCTGAATGGGGACCAATTTTAAACACATCACATTGTTCTTATTTTGATACTGTCCATAAAGTTCTAGACAATATCTACCAGTGAGTGTGTTAGCAAGATAACACCGGTGTCATCCATGGCTCATTTCAAAAACAGAGACCTGTTTTTCTGGATAAACAATAGTATTAGCACAGGTTTTCACTACAGTTCTCCGATAGCTTTTTGTTCTGTAATGAGCAGCGCTTTAGTGTGAGCTCAACCCAAACCACAATAAGGACAACAAGCAGCAAAATGCTCAGTCAGACAGAAGGTTATTTTAATCCAAAAGGAAACAAACACTTCTGTATCTTCATCACCACATTAGACAATGTATCAACAAGACTACGGGCAAAATACCAGAACAGGTATCAGTGCACCCTTAGTTCTAACAGTGGACGCACAGACACAGTGTAACCTGCTGACGTCACACGTTTATTCATGTACAATTCTAAAAAAAACCACATTCCTCTACTCTGTAAAAATCCAACTGACTGAACCAGAACAGAAAATGTTCATCAATGTACGCTGTATTAAAAGTGATTGGTACAGTTTATAAAAGGCAGATTGGAGAGTGCTCCACTCTCCAAAGCCCTGTCATGAAATACTTGGCTCTCAGCTGGTGCCTGGGTGTTGAGGAGCACGTTACATTCACACCAGTGGATCAATGAACAGCACTGGCTGTATAAAAACCTCTGACTCAGCCTGTTGTGGGAAGTCAACAAACACAGTCAGACACAGTTTTATCTGTGACTGTTTACATAATCTACACAAAGACGTGTTTATGGGAAATAACATTTCTAGAGCTTTTACTGTGACTTGATGAAGCCTGGCAAGAACGTAATGATTATTACAGCCCTGTTCTAACACAGTCAAAGACGTGTATTGTTGTTTAAGGATATATGTACAACTTTTTATGTAAGACTATTGGACTGCATTTTTGGAGATTACAAGCAATATAAACTCAGAAAACAGCTGGACATAGGCCGAGGCAATTTCAACTTTTGTAAAAATGTTTCCATGTAACGGTATTAACTTACATGTACTTTCAAAACACAACTAAACTAAGTGGAACTCTTCTTTAGAGTATAATTATTAACCCATTCTTTACCGACTTGTAAATACTGTGCATACACAAATGTCTTTTAAATGCATGAATACAAGGCAGAAAAATTGTACTATTTATGCAAAATAAAAGCACAAGAAAAAAATATACAGAAACCGAGGTTATTTTAAACGATTTCATGTAGAGAAATACAATTCACTGACCAACTTGTCCTCAGTTTCGGTGCTTAAATCAAACATCTAATTCCAAATGACAGGACGAGGGAAACATATTTTTATGACAGGATATTATCGTAGTAAACGTGGTTGTGTCATTTCATGGTGTAATGTTTGATTAGTGGCCGCCGATCACAGTAGCTACACGTCTTAACATATCGCGTTGCAGTCAATATACTTCGAATTTTCAACAACTGTTGCAGAATTTATCACAACACATTTAAAACCTCTATTATCAAAAGTGAATGTGAAAGAACAGCGAAAGAAGATTCTCACATTGAGAAAAGGGCGTGTTAGCGGGGCTGTAATAGCAGGCAGCGGCTAAGCTACATCCACCAGCTACCGATCAGTGGTGTAAGAAAACTTCACTAACAGAAGCTGATACGGAGAGTTAAAAAATAAATGTTCACAGAAGAGAATGGACACGACAGGTCAGCGTGAGGTGAATTTATATTAGGTCCATGGTTCCTATTTTGAGCACGGACCGTAGAAGGAGCCTCCGTATGAGCGTCGCAAAAGAGCGGAAGTTGAGCTAAAAATAATAAGAGCAAAAGCGGCAGCGGCAGTGCCTGTGCCGAGGCCTGGGTTTTCTACAGCACTTAATAACGATGCCGGTCCGCATAGGAACAAACTGAGACTATGACACGAATGTCAAAGCGAAAACCCAAGTTCTAGTGTGATCCTTAGGCGTCTACATGTGTAAATGTTACATTTATTCGGCGTTTTACCTTTTCCTCGTCGGATAGCTGCTCCTCATGATCCGCCATCTTTTCTTCCGGCACCACCAGGTTGTCAGAGCTGTGTGACGTCACCGCATGGGCGGCTTCCTGTTCAGTTGACATAACAAAACATTGTTGAGCATTAATTTAGGTAAAAATAAATTTAAAATGTACGTTAAAATTAACCAAACAAGCACTTCCTTCATTTTGTCAAATTCGAAGCAAATGTCCAATTCTATTACTTTAAAATTAAATAATCTCAGTTCCCTAAATGTATGTAAATAGAAAACTACACTGAAGTTGAATTGTATTATTCTTTATATTATTCAATAATAAGATGAGATCAGAAATCCGCACAGATATTGCTAAGAGTGGCATTCTTTCATAGTAAGGAATGCCCGTCGGCTATGCAAACGCATTATGCATGCCATAATTCTACCGCTGGATGGCGACAGAGGATTGTTTTTCGAACATTAAAGCAACGTCAGTGTGACAGTGAAGAGAAAGGAAATCAGAAATCAATTCACTGTGTTTTCGGACTTTTTTTTTAACGCAAATGCTGAAAAAGTAAACCAGGTAACCAAATACCACAGCTCACTGACTGGGACCAGAGTCTCAAGGGCAGAAAGACTGGGAGGTTTGTTAAATATTAGCTCAGACTGTGGAACAAGTGTTGGGTTTAGGAGATTAAGACAGCATTTCATCTACTAAGTAGAAAGATGTCGTTTTAAATGACGATTCTGTTTGCGTCACTCTACCATCCTGATCCACGCACTATGACATATTACACAGGATGTTATTGTAATAACTAGGGACGTAAGAAAATATTGATCCATTGGTTGAGTGCAGTATTTTGTCTTACGTTATTATATCGACATTACATTCCGATGATTTTAAATAAATCCATCCCCAACTGCCTAGATGGGATTATTTCTAATCTGGCCCCTCTTCATAAATGCAATAAGTTAACTATATGCTATAGTCTGTGACACCAAATGCCTGCAGCTAAACTTCAGCACCTCAGGCCTCTCTTCTCTGCCCTTCTGTCAGGTGTAACATGCAGTACCCAGGTGAACCTGTGTGGTGGCAGTATTGTGTTATTTTGGTCTGAACCGCCACCTGTCAGCTCTGCTCTTCCTCAGAGCTTTGCTGTTTCCCTCCAAGACTGTAATTTATACTTCCTTTGAGAAAACACAGTTCATGCAGCTCCACCACTGCAGCTATGTTTGTCTTGTTGGGGTCACTGCAGAACTTGTGTAGCCAGTGTAATACACCACTATTACAGGGTGAAAGCAGCGAGGGCCGCGATGATAGTAATCTGAATGTCATAGTCATCTGACTCTGTCCATCCATCACCTTCGCCTTCGTCTGCGACTCTTCTTTGAACTAACAATAGACTCCTCTGATGTATCATTACTACATCGGTCATTACTACACACACACACACACACACACACACAGTCTGCATCATATCCCATCAACTACCATCCAGTGAGTTCATGTGTCCCTCATGGGTTGCTGGGACGACATGTGTACCAGGCTTGGACTGGTGTGTGGGCCACAGTTGTGTAATTTGTTGCAGCCCAAATGGTTTTCATGTTTGCTTGTTCAAATCAAATCCAACTCAATCCAGTGGCAGCTAGGGTTTATAACATGTTATTTTAACAACCGCCATGACGTCCTAGTGGTGGTACCTGAACTGTTTGTGGACATCGTCCCTCTCCCGTGTCCCTAAGGACTGCAGCAGGACAGACAACACAGACTAGGTCTGCAGGTTCCAGCTCTCAGCTCCTAGGAACTCCTGCGTTAGTCAATAAATACTTGGTTTTTAAAGAGAGCCTCTTCTGACTAACACTGGTATTAAACCCACGCCTGCATTTTGACGTATTTTTAAAACGAGTACCTGAAGGGTTCACCTTTTAGTTACAAACTATGGTTATTACGATGGCTAAACGTGGGGTACCAAATTAAAAATGTTTCAACATCCTTTCAACTTTTGAAAAGAAAAACAACACAACCACCACTTTATAATATGATTAATGAAGTTAATAAATCACCAAGTCTTGACTTCACTCCCTAAAGAGGCCCTGCTCTCCAGCACAAATGTCTCGACGTTTCTTCTGCTCTACATTTGGGACCATGAAGCGGAGGGTCAAACCTAGCAGAGATTTCAACAACACCACAGTACAATCATCCCAGAACTTGAAAGGCCTGCAGTGTCACTATTGTACCAACAATGGAGGTACTCATCACCTCTGAGGGGCCGAACGGACAAATGAGAAGTCGTGCATGTGAAAAGGGGGCTGGTCTATGACTCACCCCCAGCAACTTAGTTAGTCACCACAGATACTCATTACACTGTTGTCACTGGGACAATAACCAGCTCCGAGTTACAGTGCTGTATTAGAGATGCCCAGTGATAAGATGTTTAGAAGCAGGAGAATGGCTTTTGTATGAGTATCTCTCTGGTCATACGGCACCACGGTGAGTGAGTGGCTCCCTCTCTGCTCTACAGCACTCTGAGTATCAGTGTGAGAAATGTCTGTTTGGCCGTGCATCAAAGAATACGGAGGCAGAGCCATAAGAGGCATGAGAGGGACTGTGTCTGTTTTAGTCTGACGTACAGCAGCTCAGTAGATGCTGTTGAAATGAAGGTTCTAACCGTTCAGCCACGGCATCTACAAACCTCTGGCTGAGACGATGTATTTCAGTCCCTCCTCTAGGTGATGCTGTAAACACAGTGAGGTCAGGAGTAGAGGTAACCAGGACAGTCACCTCTGTGTGATGTGGTCTGTGTGTACTGTACCTCAGTGTCACCTGACAGAGATCACAGCTCACCGAGGGTCAAACCCTGGCTTTAACAACACAGGACCAGCACTTGGATGAAAGTGAATCTCTATCAACTGACCGTATCACGTCCTGTTGATGTATCACATCTGTCTCGAAGGCCGTGCCTACGACACAAGAAAGAAGAACAAGATTAGAACATTTACAACATCAGTCACTCAGATTAAAAAACAAAGTATTTGATATTGTTTGTAGTTGTATAATAATGTGGATCAAAGTTCACAGCACAGCCTGTTCCTGTGGTTCCTCCTTAAACCTTGTGTTTTTGACACTGTTGCTCTTCACACTTCCAAAAAAGTTACTTCAGTACAAAGTTAAACTTGTTTTTTATCAGTTGCCTTGGTTTCAAGTGAATGTTTTGCCTTCACTTTTTATTCAGTTATTAGTTTGTCTCCCGATGCTGTTGCCGTCTATCATGGAGTGGATACAGAATTACCCCGACTCCACACGGCCTCCTGGGACTCTGGTGCCCCGCTAACCCACAGATATGAGCTGTCAACGCCAGTCTGGCTGTGACCACACTCCCCTGGAATTCCCTGGTACACCAGCGCTCCTAGTCCTGATTACTGGGCCTTTCACGGTGATTACATTTTGGTATGAGCGATGGTGCAGTTATTCTAGTCAGGTGGCGCTGCACCGGGCTGCACACTCCACCACAGGATTTACAGCTCTGTCCTATTTTCTCAGAAAGAACTTGCAAACCAGACAATTCTGTGTCAAGTAGATTTAACTCTGAAATAAAAAAACAAAGAAGCAGCAATTTTTCACATTTTGACAATGCTATCCACTTTTGGATCGCAATGCAATTGTGCAAACTGGAGTTGCAGAAAATGGATCTCCAGGGCTGAATGCTAAGAATGTGAACATCTTCAGCCAACACGCCTGTTGGTCTGATTGTTTTAGGAGAGGTGTCTCGGGCCACGTGCTGAGTTATGGATTTGAGCCCCGGACAAAACCACGCTGCAGCTGAAGCTCAACAATGGAGGAAGCAGCGCACATCTGACTCTCTGAGGTCGCACCAAGGAAAATAAGAGATGTGAACCAAGTGGAGAGGTTCAGTAAGTGAAAACACATTTTGATTACACATTAGGAACGAAAAGCCATTTTTCATTCTCAAGTGTGAAAAGAAAGATGTCTGGCATCTGCTGCATCTGAGTCAACCTCACCTCCAAAATATCGGCATGAGCGTAAGAGCTGCTAACATAATTCATAGTCAAACTGCTTCTGTTTTGACTACAAACACACATGCACCTGGAGACACAGTCTTACACTGGAGGCACAAATCCAGGTCAAACAGTCAGGGATCACGACCGAACCAAGTCTTCTTCTTCTTCTTCTTCTCCTCCTGGGAATATTGATCAACAATAATTTGGACAGTGAGGAAATGTAAATCTACTGTCTGCGCTCCTGAGGTTTTCCCTTAAATGTTCAGATCTGTTGCAGTATTTGGGGGAGGTGACAGGCAGTTGATTTAAAAGCCGTGTGTTTATACAAAAAAAGAGAAAATCTAAAATAGTTTATCCTGGTGTTTGAGGAACACTTTCCCTCTGGAAAAGAGAATGAAACAAACAAGGCAGCCGTTTCTTTTATTGCAGCATAAACTTTTCCCTAAATAGTGTGAAGATTGAATCATCGTCCTCTCAGGGCTTCAGCGCTGCTGCACTTAACACACTTGTGTGTGTCATTATGTCTGCTGCACTTAAATGGAAGCAGAATCCAGCGGAGTCAAGTCCAATGAAGCATGAGATCCAAACAGTATCAGGAGATACTCTCACAGCTGCTGAGTTGATGGTTCACTCGGGATTAGAATGGCATTTGGCAATTATTATGTTGTTGATGTTTTTGTCAGTCAGCTCTGACGCTCAACCATCAACCACATACAAGAAACTGACACTATTAGGTTCAATTCTACGGCTGCAAAAATCCCCAGTACCATGTGGATATGGGCCACGTCTGGTGATGACGCAGCCCAACTCGACTCCAAGTCTGGGCTTTGTGCAACTGTGATGTCACGTAAAAAAGTCCACCTTTTTAGCCAATTCTGTTTTATTTTAATTACTGTTGGCTTACGTACGGTAAGGCTTCAGCAGGTTAGTGGCCAGGCTGACAAAGTCCAGTTAAACCAAGTCATTCGATACAAAATATGGACAGAATAAAAGTGTTAGGTAGCAAGAGTAAATCTGAGAAAATCTGGGGATAAAATATGGAGCGTAAATAATGTGTTAGCCATGGTGGAAGCTTGGAAACACAATGTACAAAAG